TGTGTGCGTGTGCTGGCTGGCTGCCCAGCCTTGGTGCTAGGCGCCAGCTGGCAGCCAAGGCAGGCTGCAAGCCAGCCAGCCACATGGAGGGGAGTGCCGGCTTGCTAGTGGGGACCAAAGGGTGTGAGCTTTGTCTTGGGCACCAAGGCTATGGTCCCCCCTTGGAAATGGTCCCCACCTAATCTCTCATCTTCCTTGTGCCACCTGTAACTTATTGATTGAATTGCAATTTTTTTTTTTTGTTTTTTTTTTTTTGAGGAAAAGCATTTTATTTTTGTTTTTATTAAAATAAAATGGGAAAATTGCAAATATCCCACATTGATTGAGAGTGGGAATTCAAGGTCCATTTCCCTATAAATACCAAGGTTTGGGATTTGGGAAGAACACTTGAGTGGAACTAAAAAGGCATCTCCTTAGAAAAAGTGAGAAAACCTTAAGTTCGTAAAACTCTAGTTTTTATTGGTCGGGTCTTAACTAACCTTCGGGACTTGGATCGTTCGGGTCGGGTTCGTGGGTACGAGCCGTCGGAGACCTTCGCATTTGCGGGGTTCAAGTAAGAGCTTGGGATTCGAGCGAAGCACGCGCCAAGGGTAAGAATGCCTTTTTTCTCTCTCTTAATTGTCGCTTTAATTAGTGTGCGGGTCTTGGGTGGGTTTCCCTTCCGCGTAGAGTCAGACTCTACGAAACCCAAAATCCTCCTAAGTAGGTGTGGGCGCAGATCTGTGGATGAGGTAATCCTCTGCGGCTCTAGGTGACGTAGGATCACCTCTACCGCTACTCTGACCGGCCTCGAACTGTGAATGGACGGAGTGGCCTCCATGATTGGCCCATGGGTGGACAAGATAGTTGTGACCATATCTCTGCAAGGTAGCCACGCCCATATCTCGCACCCGCTCGACCTGGGCTCTAGTGGGTCCGTCTGCAAGGGCACCTGATAGTGCATCAACCATCATCGCCATATTCACCGCCTATAATAATCATCGATCAGTCAGTTGTATGATATAGAAATTTAAAAATTATTGAGAATAAGTAAATTAAATAAACTCACATAGCTTTCTCCTTGGCATACCATGCTTTTCGATACGAAACATCGAAATAAAATTGCTTGGAGATGAGATCCTGTATGAATTCAACTTTCAAGGACGGATCTTTCTGCACAAAGGACTTCACATACTCATATATTATGGACGAATCCAAGTGTGGGTGATTAGTATATAGTACTTCAGTGACATAGTTCTCCCAGTGCGGGCCTTTGTATATGACTAGGGTGAAGCCACGCGCGTGCTCACTTGTTTTAGTACCCCGTAGCGTCCAACCACATTTCCTCTTGCACCGCAGATGAAGGACATTCTCATTCGAGGTCACTGTGGTGTAGAATTGATTCCTCTGTATATAATACATCTTCACCATTTCTGAAGCATTTTCTTACTTTCAAAAAACATGCCCTTCTCAAATTCTCCCCCAGGAACAAACGATGTATGGCTACCTAATTCGGCCCAATACTAATCAACTTCATAGTTCTTGTTTACCTTACTGAACCAAGGTATGGGAGTTCTAACCACAGCCTCACCAACTTCCATGTGTGTAGGTTCAACATCCAAGTTGTCAAGACCATCTTCCTCCTCTCCGCTCTCGGCTTCATCATTTGTTTCCGCATACACATCATACACAGATTTAGCATAGGTTGAGATGGTGATGCTTGAACATCATCTTGCATAGGTGAATAACTATACAATTGCATCGGTGAAGGTATGATGGTGTTTGATGTCAAAGGACCAGGTTGGCCGGTCATTGCCACGGGTGAAGCTATATGAGAACTAAACGACATGTGAAAATGGGCATTTGCAGCATTCTACTAAAAGATCCCATCCCATATTCATTTCATGTGAGGGCATTTGCAAGGACTCTATGTTATAACTAGAAATATATGTAGTTTGTTGTTCTGGATGAGTGCTTTGTTGGGTACATATAGGCATCATTTCTACATATATCTCAGTGGGAACACCCTTCATTGCAACGACGCTCCTCAAAGCTTTCAAATGTTTATCCGTAGAAACAAGTAACACTTGAACCCCATTGACAGTCTCAAACCTCATTTTAATGTTTAGTTTAACATTCATTGGGTTTGAACCAATACTACTATGAACCTCGTTCATCAAATCATTGAAAGTCATGTCCGGTTCAAGTGTTAGTGGTTTCATACTTCCTCCATTGGTCCAACAAATAGAATTTCACCTCCCCACCGACATAACAAAACTACATTTTGTGCAGCCATAATTCTACATAAGAACCAAAACACATTTTACTTAAAGACACTAAATCATCCCTAAATCACCATAATCAAACAACAATGTAGACATACTTTTCAAATTACAACAACTTAGAAGCCCTAGCTCACCATTATTAAACAAATGTAGGTTATCACAATTACTCAAAAACTAACAATTATCAACCATTATCAACAATTATCTAAACTAACAATTCAACATTTTCAACAATTATCTACACTAACAATTCAACATTACCACCAATTATGAACACTAACAATTCAATATTATCAACACTAACATTCACAAAAAATATCAACAATTATAAAAAAAAACCTAGATTTTAAAAACCTATGAGAGAGGGGGCAAGTACCCAATTCGACAAGGAAGTGAAGAGAGGGGGCGTCGGGGCTGTCGGAGGGAGACGCCGGTGGGGGGGGGGGGGGTATTTCGGTTGAGTGACAGATAGATTGAGTGAAAGGATTGAAATGAGGGAATTTGAGTTAGAGAGAGAAGTTGCCCCTGTAATGTAGCACCGATAGAAACGCTGACTGAGGCAGCGTTTCATTAAACCACTTAAAGCGCTGCCTTAGTCAGTGTTTTAGGGTATTTGAATTTTTTTTTTATTTAACATTTTAAATATCAGAAAGTCCCAGACAGCGTTTTACAAATTATAATTTTTGTTTTAAAAAACCAGGGTATAAAACGTTGTCCGACCATAAAAGCTTAGCTTGGTAAGTAGTTTTGTCACGCGTCTACTTTACAAAATTGTTTTTACAATAAGCCTACTTTGGAAAAAAAAATCCGCTTTCTCCCCTAAGCCCTTGTTTTTTTGTTTTTTTTTTGTTGGACATCCAGAATTCTCTCTCACTTCCCGCCACACTCTCACACACTCCTCTCCATCTCAAACTCAATCACCATGGGAGAAGACAAGAAGAACAAAAAGCGCCGCCGTCCCGATACAGACAATTCAAATTCCGACACCGACGATTCTCTCTCAACCATTAAAAATCCTCATCTTTCTCAGAGATCCGTCCCTTTCCAGAAACGCCTTAAACCCGACACCACAATCCTCAAATCCCTTAAACAACTTGCTTACTCCATCAAAAACCCTCCTTCTTCCTCCTCCAAAAAACCCGTTACTCTCGCCGACGTCTCCGCTTCTCTCTCTTCCTCCTGCCGCGAAGTTACCGACCTTTCTCTCTCCTCCGTTCAGTCGGAAATCGAAACCCTCGTTTTATCCCTCACTAAATCTATTCTTGCCGGAAATGGTTTCTCCTTCAGTGTACCCTCTCGTGCTTCATCGAACCATCTTTATATTCCTGAGCTAGATCGTATTGTTCTTAAAGACAAGTCCTCATCTCGCCCCTTCGCCGCGGTTGGATCTGTCCGTAAAGCTACCGTCACTGCCCGGATTTTGTCGCTCATTCACCAGCTTTGTCTCCGTAGCATTCATGTTACTAAGCGTGATCTGTTTTATACTGATGTGAAATTATTCCAGGATCAATCTCAAAGCGATGCTGTTTTGGATGATGTTTCTTGTCTTCTTGGGTGTACTAGGTCGAGCTTGAATGTGGTTGCTTCTGAGAAAGGGATTGTTGTGGGTAGGCTTGTGTTTAGTGATAATGGAGATATGATTGATTGTACGAAAATGGGTGTTGGTGGGAAAGCAATTCCGCCTAATATTGATCGTGTGGGGGATATTCAGAGTGATGCATTGTTTGTTCTTTTGGTTGAGAAGGATGCCGCGTTTATGAGGTTGGCTGAAGATCGGTTTTACAATCGGTTTCCGTGTATCATCATTACAGCGAAAGGGCAGCCGGATGTTGCCACTAGGTTGTTTTTAAGAAAGTTGAAGCTTGAGTTGAATTTGCCTGTGTTAGCTTTGGTGGATAGTGATCCATATGGGTTGAAGATCTTATCGGTTTATGGGTGTGGCTCGAAGAATATGTCCTATGATAGCGCAAATTTGACTACACCGGATATCAAGTGGCTTGGTATTAGGCCAAGTGATTTGGACAAGTATAAGATTCCAGAGCAATGTAGGTTGCCAATGACCGAGCAGGATATTAAAACGGGCAAGGACTTGCTGGAGGAAGATTTTGTGAAGAAGAATCCTGGTTGGGTTCAAGAGTTGGAGTTGATGGTTAAGACCAAACAGAAGGCTGAAATTCAGGCTCTCAGCTCTTTTGGGTTTCAGTATTTATCTGAAGTTTATTTGCCCCTCAAGTTGCAGCAGCGAGATTGGCTCTAATTCCATCTGTTTTGTATTGGTATTGAAGAGTGTCAATACTTGTATGCATTCAGGCGATGTGCATTGGCAGCACGTATTATGTATCTGTCTAATTCCATCTGTTTTGTATTGGTATTGAAGAGTGTCAATACTTGTATGCATTCAGGCGATGTGCATTGGCAGCACGTATTATGTATCTGAGATTTTGCTAACAAGATGTATCTGAGAAGTTGAATTTAATGTTTGTTGAAGTTTCTTGTACTTGCAATTGATAGAAGAGGGAAATAAGAAATCTTTTTTACATGTCCTATATTTCTGAGTTCCAAGATTCCTGTTATATTAGTTTGTTCTATGAAATCTTTTTTCACGTCCTATATTTCTTAGTTTGTTCTTGGTTATGACGATTCAGATGCATAGTTGCATACACAGAGTGTGTCATGGACGTAGGGGTGTGTATTGCTCAAAGCATCCACAAGTGTGACAGAATTTGCTCGTATTAATGAAATGAAAACAGTAAGAAATTATTTCACCATTTCTAAAATTTCTGTATTCATACAAGGCTCAGCTTTTGGATTTACATAGCTATATAGCTGTATGAGATATTTCGTATAAATTGTTAGATTTATTACAGTATGAAATAATGTACATGTACAATTAACGCCTAGAGCCAGCATCCGACCTTCTTTGTAACCAATGATTCAAAGATTTTCTTGGGACCAATAGCCTTTGCAATACTGCAGGTCGTCGAGCTGAAGTGTCGAGACTATTAGGCAAATCACTCATTTTAGCACCTCTCGAGTTTGAACCTAAATTGGAAGCACCTTCTTTATCTGGGGTTCTGTCAACTGTCGCACTTGGATCTTCTGCAATGACTTCAAGCCCGAGTTCCTTCTTCAAAAGATTTTCTATAGCATCTCTGACCATACACCGTAGGCCTACTTTTGTGATTCCTATTATAACTGTTAGATCATCTTTTACAGAACATCCTGCAATGAGATAAGAAATTCAACACTATTGAATAACAATATTGCTGTCTATGGGACAACAAAAAATCGAAAGGAATAAAAAAGGCATACGATGTATATTAGAGAACAGCTAATTCAACTTAGCTGTCTATGCTGTAGTAAAATACTTCTAGTTCGGCAATTTCCTCCACACCCCCCCCCCAATTTTGTTTTCATACCTGATTTATAATTTTCTTTAATCATACGTAAAGCTGCTAGAACTACAAGCCGAGCTTCTACCTGCACAATAAGTGGAAAACATTCAATGGAGAAAAAGGCAGGAGCTTAAGGCTTGAAACTGCACTCATATCAAATTACAACTCAGTGGAGTCTGTAAAGTGGTAGATAAGTTATAAAACTTTCAACATTACAAATACACCAAGATTAGGAGAGTCTTAATCAAGACTAAACAACAATTTTCAACAGATTGACCTTTTGACAAAATTGCTATGCTTAGTGTGTGACTCGGATTTTGTTAAAATTAGACCTAAATAAACTCAACTTGTCCTGCCTTTTGCTACGGGCTCAACTTTGAAGCTCCAGACAAGCACTCTAAATAATATAGATTTACTATGCAGATTCAATTGTGTATTAGGTAGTCATAATTGCACACAACGATTCTACTGGGGAACCTAAACCATCTCCTGTTTTCTCTAAAGTCTATAAACTATGCCTACTTGCCTTATCAAGCCACGGAAAATCAGAAAAGATTTGCTGCTTTGATGCCACTGTCTTGATTATTTTGAATGTGAAAATCTTAATTAATAGCCAATTTGTTTAACTCAGGCACAACATCATATGAAGATGGAAATAAAGTTCAATAAATTGATTAGCATTAGTTATAATCTGCTTTTTTTTTTTCTTTTTTTTTTTTCATCTATTTTTTTTAAAGCAATGCAGAAGAAAAGAGGTGGGATCTCAAGTCCCTAAAATTTGTATCTCTTCACTACAAAATGAAATGTTGCTTGTAACCAGCTACTAATACTGAGTGGTAAGCTGAGAACCCAGTCAAAAAGCAAAGCTTCAAATTAATAGTACTTCAAATATATATTCAATGAAAAGATTAAAATAAATACTGAAGTCGATCTTATGCTACTAATAAGAGAATTAGAATAAATATATCTTGAGATTCAATACCAAACAATGAACTCAACTGAAGTTATACAGATTTTGTGTTTTAGCTGAAGTAATTACATCGATATACAACATAAAAATAAAAATTAAATTAATTAGTTGATTATTTAATAGAAAAAAATAAATATAAGTGAATATTTATATTCTAGTAAGTCGTCTTTTTAGGTTTCACCATTAAACATACCTTTGTCAGCCCCTGAATATCAACTGCAAGACTTTTAACTGTGTTCTTCCGTAAATGGGTTGCTACCCTTTCAAGAATCTGACTTCGCATTTCCCCTAGGTCAGCTTTGTTGCGTGAATATGAAAGTCCTTGCTGATTATTCCCTTGAATTACTCCTTCACACCATTCTTCAATCAGTAGTTTAAGATAGTAGTCATTGGATTTGTAGCTGATAGATAAAGTTAATGGAAAATCAAGAAGAATGTGAGAACATATTATTTCATCAGAGCACGATATGCTGTGGAAGCATATATCCATATATATCAAGACTTTGACTGAGTCCAACATTCAAAACATTCAACATGCATGTGTAATCTTATGAACAGTATCATGCATGATTGATACAATATCACCAGATATAACACATAGCTGGACTGGAGGAGGCTGAAAGGCAGCAAAGCAAGATATAGAATGATTCAGGCCCCATAACACTGCATCCCCCAGCAATTTTTAAGTCAAAATAATATGAACAACTCACAAGTTCACATGAGGCATAATGACTCTAGCAGTTATTGTCTTCTAAACAATAGCCAAAAAAAAAAAAAAAAAAAAGAAAAAAAAAAAAAAAAAACCTTGCAAGTCAGTTGCATAAGCTAGAGCATGGTAGTTTTGGCCATGGTACAGGATAAGTCTCTTCCTCACAGGGTGTCACCCAAAACAATGATTTAGGTTATGTTCTCTTCACCTGGAATAAAGTGTTATGATTTGAATTTTCTAAGATCACAACTTTGATCGTATATGTTGTTTATGTTAAGCTTGGTGGATACTTACAAATATTTTACAAAATAATATAGGTTCCGTTTAGTATGACAAAAAACAATTTCAAAGAAAAACGATTTTTCATGGAAAACCACAATTACAGTGTAATTTTCCTTCGTGTGTATCCTTACAAGAAAAGTTACACAAAAATTGAAAATGGATGAGGGGTAAAAAAAGAAAGGAGGTAAGGAGGGAGGAAAGTGTGACATCCCTTCTTTTGTAAATGAAAATGCTTTCCACTTAAGACTAATTTTCCACTATTAGAAATTTGTTTCCCACTCCTTCACAAACCAAACATAGGAAAATGAAGTAAAATCATTTTCCATGAAAACATTTTACATCAAACCAAACACTCCAAAGAAACTTACAGTGCTAATTGTCCACCATACAACATCCTCTTTTCCCCCACCGCCAAAACCTTCTTCCCTCTCCTTGCATCTTTTCAATAGGGGATGGGGAAGGGGTGGCTAATGGTTTTGGGGGGTGGGGGAGGGCGGTTGAGGGTTTCGCAAGGAGGGGTAAAGGGTCTCTAGGGTTTCAGGGGAAGGGGAGGGTTTTCTAAGGTTTGCTGGGTGGTTCAGGGCAAAGGGGAGGTTTAGCAAGGGTGAGGGGAGAGACAATTGGGTGTTCAGAAGGAGGGGAAGGGTAGCAAGGTGATAGGTGGGTGGTGGGATGGGGTTTTGGTGCTGGTGAGGGGTGATTTCAGGTTCTAAGGGTGGTTAGGGCGGGTGATAGGGTGGCAAAGCTAGTGCATGTGATGATGGTGGGTGGCAGAGTAAGGGTCAACACCGGAATAGTGGTTCAATGACCATATTCCAAGTAAAGGTGGCTTTTCACAAAATAATAGTGAAATCAGGGCTATTGGGACAAGAAAAAATAATAAGGTGGTTTTTGACAGAATTTGTGTTTTTAAGGTGGTTTATGACAAATTTTTCATTTTGTATATATTTTATTGTTATAATTTCTTAGTTTTACAATGCTTATAGAATTATCTTTACTACATAAGCATCAGTAATAATTTGCATATAAATAGGTTATTAGAAAAGAATCAATAATATTGTAAAAAGGAGGCAATAAATAAAGGATGATCTTCCATATTTTAATACTCCTTGAAGAAATTCCTTTGAACGCCAAGATATTCTCTCAATCGGTCTTGCATTCAGAAGTGCTTTTGCAAATATATCAGCAATTTATTCTTCGGAAGTAAAATGAACTAAGCTGAACTTTGTGCACTTTACACTTCACACACGTAGTGAAATTTTATATTAATAAATTCTGTTTTTTCGATGTAGTAGCAGATTCTTAGCAATAGCGATAGCATATTTACTATCACAATATATCTTTGTGGGTTGTTTTTGAACTTCTCCCATTTTAGTTAAAATCCTTCTTAGCCAGATTGTCTGATTTGCTGATGCACATACTGTAATATATTCTGCTTTTGTAGTTGATTGAGCCACAATATCTTGCTTTTGACTTATCCAAGAAAATACACCATTTCTAAGTGAAAACATGTATCCCGATGTATATTTTATGTCATTGATAGATCCAGCTCAATCACTTTCAGAATATCCAGCAAGTTCCGAATTTTTAATAGTCGTGCACCATATTATGTAATATGAGGTTCCTTTTAGATGAAAAGAACTTTTTTTAATTGCTTGTAGGTGTATTTGGCTTGGTTTCAGCATAAATCTTGTTAACATGCTCCAACGCACATCATGTTAGAACAAATTTAGAGTAATTAAACAAGAGGTACCACATATTTCTTCTAAGCACATATTATAGCCGCTTTTGTAATAGTTTATTATCGACCTTCTACGAAGCAATAAGGTTAACACGATATAACTATTGAGGTACAAAGAAAACACAATTGATTTTGGTTGTTTATCGAAATCAATCAACAAGAAGTTTGCGAACAAGTGTTAGTAAAAACCAAGAGAAAATAATCTAGAAAATTCTCTCAAATGAAGCAATTTTAACGATGTTTTTCTTCTTTATCATCTATCATGTATGTCACATAAACTCCTGTTTATAGAGTTTATATGAAGAGCGGTTAACATCCAACATATATGTCCGCTCACAAAGCACTTTGTTCAAAAACTGCTGAAAACCGTCACTTTTACCCAGTTGGGCGTGCAAAAAAACATTGAAAAAACCATGTAAAATCTGAAAGCACCTGTGCCTCGGTCAGACCGAGCAAAGCCGCCCGGTCAGGGGCCCAACATCTCAGTAAAATTTGAGATTATCGGCGAAACTTGACTCGTGCTCGCCCTACGGCTCAGAAAGGGCAAAGCACAAATCAGTCGATTTTTGTCATGCATTGTCATTTTTGTACATCTTGCTTTGCAATGCTCTAAGTATAATCATTATACTAATCCTTGTATAATATAAACCTCATATATGAACCCATAAGAAAATTTATCTAATAATGTTCCAACATATCATATGTAGTTTGTAGCATTTAGCACCTTCTGAACCATCTTCTTTGCTCAACTTTTCATTTTAAGCTATAAGAGAGGATATTGATTTGCTATTTTCCACATTATACTTTTTTAAGATGTTTTGTCTTTTGTGCATATATCTTTTGACTTATGAAGATCCCTTGTACAAAGAAGGATTCGTCTTTTCTCAATTTGGATCATTCTTCGACCATTTCATCCCATATTCCGTTGGAGAATCTAATTGAATTTACAATACTAAAATAGATGCTTCTTGGAATGAAAATTTCACTATGACGTTGTACAACTACAATATTTCATTAATCAGGGTTTTATTAAAGTTGGGTTTAGAATGAGAAGACATCTCATTAAATTATCCTTGTTAATTTTTCCAATAAGTAATTAATGAGATCCTAAAATGAGTGGAAGAAAAAAAAGATTAAATGTGTTGCTGATGAGTTAGATAGTTATACTATTCATTTGACCTCAAGTTCTAGTCACACAAATTCCACGTCTTGACAAGTGTATAGAGACTTAATGTAACACTTCATTTGGGCCAAAAGCAATAAATTTATCTATAAAATGCCCAAGTCTAAATACTAGGCACATCAAATTTTCAGCGCTAGCAGAGATGGTTACAATTAATGACCTAAATTCCTGATGGATATCAAGGGTGAGGAAAAGAAAGGCAATAGTTTATAGGAGATAAGTGAAGGGAAAAAAAATACAAAGGAATCCTTGTAGTGTAAGAAAGGCACTACAATTAACAAGTTTGCATCATGACTAAATACATGAAATTGAGACCTAATATTTGTGACACAAGTAATCTTTGAACTTACCCAGCTTTCCGCATATCTTGATATATAGCTAGGCATTGTTGAACTTCTTGTAGGGAGCCATATTTGGTACGGGCTCTCAGCAGAGTATTATATGTTACCTGAAACAAGCAGACTTTCAATCATCATCACATATTGGGACTTGGGAGTATACAGTAAAATGCGATTACAAACTCATAATTCATCTGTGCAAGTGAAAGATATACACAAAATACGCTTGCCATGCCACCAAAAATAGACTAGTAGAACAGTAGAATAGCTTGAAGAATCCAGTCAATACAGATACTTGTACTTCACAGCTCATACTTACCAAATTTGGTTTAATGCGGTTCCTTTTCATTTCTGAGAATAATGAAAATGCCATATTCAGGTTTTTACATTCCACACAAACCTACATTAGAGGTCAAACATTTTAATAACAATAATTGACCTCATTCTGATAATATTCAAGATGACGGAAGCAAACCTTTATAGCAGTTGTATAAGCAACAACATCAGGCCTAATTCCTGAGTCGACCATGGATTTCATTAGCTGCGGGGTACAGGAAAGATATAAAGAATTTAAAGTTCATTGATAGAATAAGAATGGTTTTCAAGATAAGAAACAAACCAGCATGGTACTTCTTCAGGTGGAAATTGACATATAATTAAAGACAAAATTAAGTTTTTGTGTCACTGGAATATGTATTACACTTAAGCAATGAAATTATAAAACCCTCTTGTCTTGCATTTTAAGCTTTCTCATCTTCAAAGTTAAGGATAGCCATTGATCCATATAAGAAATTAAACTTATACTTGAAATTATGAAGGCCAAACCAAACTACAGTAAGAAGTCCATACTGTAAATTTATACATAAAGCAAGGCAAAGTAATCACTATCCTGAATGATATGTTGGAAAAAGCCAAACAAGTACTTTCTTCAGCTTATGCAACTCTAATTTATAATAGCCCCATTAAAACCAACAAAAGATCATTATTTACCTGTAAGGCACCTGCTACATTTCCTGCTCTACCACAAATATTAATTAAAATTGTATAGCTGATGTGATTCGGAGTAAGACCCATAAATTTCATCTCATCTATTAAAGATTTTGCCCGGTAGAAGTCAGTACCACAAGCCTTCAAAAGTATATTGTATGTTGCAGTTGTTGGACTAAATGGAATACTCTTAGAAAAGCTCAAATTATGTGATGCAGTCATAATGTGCGGTGTATTTACGGTTGAATTTTCATCTGTTCGAAGAACATTTGAAGTTTTGTATTCATTGGTAATAAGATCTTCACTAAAATTTTCTGGAGATCCACTACTCTTCCAGGCATAGAAAAGACGAAATGCTCGGTCATACTGACATCCCTCCACACAGGCATGAAGAAGTGTGTTGAAACACTGTGAATTAGGCTGACAACCAGCCATAAGCATCTCTTCAAAAAGCTGAGTTGCCTGGTCGACAAGACCACCATTAGCACATGCACTGATCAACGAAGACCATGTAACTGTATTGGGAGTAACACCAGCAGATAGCATATCTTCTTTGATTTTGATAGCCATTTGCCACAATTTTGCATCTGCAAATACCTGAAATTTTATGCACTTGTTGAAATAAGCTATGCAAAGTAAACATTCTAATTGCATATTACACCCACAAATTAAACAGAGAGATGCATAGGGCAATATGCAATAATGTGACTAAACTGAAGCATTAAGGGACAGCCAGAGAAGACTGGCAAAAAAAGAATACCCAGTAAACATGGAGGGATATACCTTGATAATAGTGCTGTAAGTAAAAACATCTATTTTAATTGCTCCAGTTGATTCCAAATGCAATACCTCCCTGTATATATCCTGAGCCAAGTCAACTCTTCCTGACAGACAGCAGGCCTTCAGAAGTATGTTGTAAGAAGTCATATCTGCCTCAACACCCATACTCTGAAAGGACAAAAAATATGAGACTGACAAACTGCTAATTATACAAGTCCAGACATATTTATAAATGATTCTCAAATTTTACTCTGCTGGTTATACCACATACATAATACAAGTTAAGGAACTGGAGAATTACTTAGGATGAGAAGTTAAAATTCTTTTTAACAATCGTAGCAGCACATGTTTTGTAACAAAGAATAAAAACAGTATTCAATAATTTTGGTGGTTGCAGCTTTGTAATAAAACAAAAGACATTATCTGTTTTGCAATAGTGGATCTAAAAACCAAAAAGGACCATAGTTGTCTGAACCGATTAAAGATCACTTTTGTCCCTTTTCCTGTTGGTTACTTGACTGGGGGTAAAGCTAAATACATTCAGACTTTCCAAAATCCACTAGGGTCACCATAATAGGACATACAATTGGTTATTTCCGTTGTTCTAAGATACAACATTTACCCACAACACCTTTGTTTAACCACATTGACTGATTGTGTATAATCAAAATTAAAACAGTACATAGTTAGATGGACGTATGATATTATACTACAGCAGGCAAATGGATAAAGAAGAAAGGGACAAATCTATTCCAAAAAAAGTTAGGTACATGTCTCTCTCTAAGTGTTCCGCAAGCTATAATATGTTAATGCATAGAAATAGATGTTAGACAGTTGAGACAGGACATTACTTGCATTTGCTTGTACACTTCCATTGTGTAAGTCAAGTCATGTGCATTTACATTCATGAGACTGTTGAAAACATAGATATTTGGGGTAACTTTCTGAGCCAGTAGATCCTGCAGTAATAACAGAAGCTTCAGAAAACAGGGACAACATAGACAACAAAATTGAATTGGAAAGTAGAATAAAGCATAAAATGAGACAATCCTCAAAAAATTTAGATGTTATTTTCAGATCCAAGGGTGTAGCTACAAGAAGAGTTGGCCTATGCAGAAAAAAATTTAAACCGTCCCTGCACAGGATATATCTAATACTTCCTCTGCTCCATATCGCTTGCAACATACCCCTTGGGAGTGCATTTTGAGGAATGGATTTGAGGGTGTAAACAAGCAAAGTAATCAAAATAATTTTAACACCTGTAAATTAAAGGTTACCTTGTGCTTGTGTTTAAATTATATCGATTAATTTTGCTTGTTTACACCCTCAAATCTCTTTCTTAAAATGCGTGCCGAAAGGCATGTTGTGAGTAATATGGAAGTGCATACTTTGCATTTATATCAAGGAAGGGAATATCATAATACGGCAAGAATGGTTAAGGGTGCACATGGGATACTGTGCTCATCCTGATACTATAATACTCCTTACGTGTATTGGATTTTATCATCTAAACTGCTTGTTTCCTTTTAATGCTTTTTGTTTCATGTTTGCTTCCCATTTCAATTCCATCGTTTCCCTTCCATTCATAATACAGCTACTCTATTCCATAGAATCAAACAAATAAGCAAAATTCAGTTCCTTTTCAGTCAGTTTTCATTTTTCACTACCATTGACTTCAACTTAAAGTAAATGGATACATAAATAACAGTATCTTATTTTTATACTTTTTAAAGGAAACTTACGTTATTCTAGACACTGAGAACCTTGACTAGTTTATAAACAAACCTCTTAAGAATATTTGTAGCAAAATGGTTACTAATGCCGCTTTTGCAACTGTACCCAAAAACACAGGGTTAGAATTACAAATTTAAATTTAGTTTGGCTACCAAAGATAAAATCAAAATAAAGGAATACCATTGAAAATGTCCCTTATTTGTTTTAGGGAAAATTGATATACATTACACTACCTCCGTTTTTTATAGTTGACACGTCTTCCTTTTTGGGAAGTTTTTTTTTTTTAGTTGACACGTTTCTATTTTGGGCATATTTTCTATGATGAATGGTCAATTGTACCCTTACCTCTCTCCTGCTCATATCTGATTATTAGACCAATCTCTCTCCTCTCTCTATCACCTGACCCAACAAACAAACCACCCACATACTAGTATCGTACCTCACCACCACCACCACTCGTTAGTCGTCACCTTTTTCTCTCTCCTCCCTCCGCCTTCAACACATCAAGAACCCTCAAATCATCGAACCCACTAGATTAAGATCTCGATTTCATCAATCATGTCGTTCCTCTTTAGATTCGGTCGGTGGGACTAGTAATTTCATCCCCACATAACAAACTAACAAAGTATAGATATGGGATTTTTTGATTCAACTTTTTTAATTGAATGACTGGAACTTTGATTGCAGCATCATATTGTCATCCTTCGTCATCGTCATCTACTTTTTCTGGTACGGAGTATTTGAGAATTGAGATCTAAAGCCCCTAAAGGTAGTAGCAGTTATTGGGCTGTGAATTATTTTGAATTTTTAGATAATTATTAAAAATGAGTAGTTTTGTGGGTTTTATGTGATGAAGGTAGTGACGAAGGTGAGGCGGTACCGGAGAAGTACATCTGGCTGATCTGGGTGGTGGTGATGGTGGTGGAGTAGAATTAGTAGATAACTAGATATACATGGGGTGGAGTTGGGGTGGGCTGGTGGTGGCTCATATGGCTGGGCAATAGATGGAGGAAGGAAAGGGAAGGTTAAGTAAGGGTATTATTGTCTTTTACATATCTATCTCACTTCTCCTAAATTTGTGTGCCTAAATCAAACATGTCAACTAACGGAGGAAGTATATATTATTTTTTCCATTTTTTTGGAGGGAAAGGAGTCTGTGTGTGTGTGGGGGGGGGGGGTTTCAAAATTGCACCATTTGTTATATCCTTTTTATGTTGGGTCCCAAGGTATGTTGCAAATTGGGTCTCTCTCCAAAACATAGGATTTTTCCTTTATTACAACATCTATATTTTATTCTTAGATTTTAATCTAGCTATCGCCTATCGGTTTTAATTTACATATCTTCAGTTTACAATCCTCTTAACAAATCGTATTAGCAACACGCTCTAATAATGAATCCTCCAAACAACATTTGCAGTAGAATTACTAATTTTTTACTTCTCAGAAGTTGAGCAATAATTAATGTTAATTCATAGCTCACTGCTCAAAACAGGCATCACAAAGACTAGCAAATCTCAAAAGAAAGTCAATTAGAAAACATGCATGTTGACGCACCACATATTTTAGGTAGTAATTATATACCAATACTGGCATGAAACCGTAAAGCTACTACAAAAGGCAAGTCAGCTTATCAGTCGATTAACCTTCACGCATTATACCTCCAGTCAAGTGTACAGGAAAGTTATATCAAAACAAAATGAACATTATTGACAATAGCCACATAGCAGTGATTTATCCTAACATAGCTGTCAAAGAAGCTACCTCATAGATCAACCTGGACTTGATGCAATCACCACATAAGCCACAAACATCGATTATAGTGCGGTAGACATACATGTTATGACCACTCAACTTCTGTTTGGAAGCTTCAAATACTTTTACAGCTGAAACCAGATCTGATCTCTTTCCAAAGTCTTTAATTATGGTACAAAACAATATCTCTGCCTGTGGAAGGAGACAGGCATACCTGCCAAATTTGATTTTGACAATACCTGTTAAAGTGGAGATATAATTTTATTGTGTATCTACAAATGTTGCTTTAAATCATATTCTACTTTTCAGTTGATAAGGTATATTGGTCTACAAAGGATATAAAAAGCCAAGATAATAGAGCTTCATGAATTTTAAACATTATTAGGCCAAAAAAAATAAAAAAAACCAATTATCATAATCCCAAATCTGTAGACAAACATCCTTTGGATCATGACATGTGCTAAGAGAGCTAAATAGGAGACCAATGCCACTTTCACGATCACAAACCATACGACAGATACAAATACAATGCAGCAGCTAGATTCTATAACAGGAAGCTAAGAAGATCCAGTGTGGCCAACCTTCAGCTGTGGATGATATACGGTAGTAGGTCAGTCAGAAATTGGCTTTAGAACCATTTTGGACTATATAACAGAATGATTAGTAATTTGAAGTTTTGATCACTTTAAATGTAACATCTATGTCTCTCCTTCATACTATGTCATTTACAAAATGAAGGCATGTGAATTTGAGCCAAGCTCTTGAATTATTGCTTGCACATAAATGGGGTTATACCAACCTAAATGAAAATCACTCCAATTCATCATTTTACTATTAACATCTAGGCATCTTCCGCACTATGTCAATTACAAAGAGAAGGCATGTGATTTTGAGCCAAGCCCTTAAATCATGCTTGCTTTGAAACGGAATAATACCAGCTTAAATGATAATCAACTCTTAAGATCTCTACGACGAATGCAACATTACATCAGAAACTTCACTTTCAAATAGGATATTACTGGATTAACAAAGTTTTTTAGTCAACACTCTTCATTGAGAAGCATGACAATAGAATAAAGTAACAAAAGAGCACAACAATAATTTATTTTGTCCCAAAAGACAATGTATGATGTGACTTCCATAAGAATATATTAATGGTGAATCGTAACAGTACCTTACGGCCAAGCTTGGGCTGTGTTTATCAATAGATATTTTTATCATTTCGCTGGGCTTTATCAAGTCTTTGATTGAAAATTGGAAACCTGGATGATTCAATGAAATGTCATAATATAAAACAAGTCAAACGATGAAACCCTTTTCATGATCACTCAAAGAAAGCCAAACTATGGCATTTCAAACCAAATTTGTAGGGAACAAGTATTTGGAAGTAACAACTTTTTGTACTCACTCCATCCCACTACAATAATGCCCCAAATATTTCACTATTTTAAGAGTTGATTCGAGAAAAAAACATGTGGTGTTATGAACTTGTCATCTTCCATGCTTTTATCTCTATCTTCCAAAAAGGGAATTTGGGTGAACAAAGTGGGACAAGCAATAAAGGAAAATGGGGCAAACCTTATGGGACGGAGGGAGTACTAGGCATTCAAGAACTAAGACAATAGAAACATCTTCAAGTGAGCCTACAACCATATGCGTAATGCAATAAACCAGCATATAGTACAAATGACAAGAAAACAAGACAACTATGAACACGAAATCCAAATATGAGAGATTACTCTCCCCCTCACCAAACAAGTATATTCATGTCATTTCTATGCCTCAACAAGCAATAATCAAGTCAGAGGTAATCACCCTTAAATCCTTGATGGATTAAATCAAATATAGAATTCTGAAAAAAAAAAAAAAAAACAAAACAAAATCACTCCAATCCATAATAATTGCTACCAATGTTATTTTGCAACATCTGGAAAAACGTGTGCTAAATTCAATTATAAGGGAACTCACATGTGCTGGGGGTGTGTGTTGAGCATAGCCTTCCTAAAATCAATGTGGGACACTCACATGTGTTATTTGGGAAGGCTATGCTTCAACTCTCTTCTCAAATTTGAGGTCTTTTCTAACTCAGTCACATGTGATATTTCATGGGTGAGAGTGCATTTTCACATAAATCCAATTCAATTTGTCCCGAAGTATGTTAAAGCCATTAAAGGTCCCAACCATGGGCCTGGCTCTAACATACCATGTTAGACTGAGGACTAGGTCGCACTAGAGAAAGAGAGTCCACCTCACAAGGCCAAACGAGGTTTCATCACACAACTATATCGATTAAGAAGTGTTGGTGTATCAACGAGGGACATTCACATGTGTTCTTCAAGAAGACTATGCTTCAACAACTTGTCACATTTCTTGAAAATAAAGAGACATTGTATTATTGTTTCCGAACATACCTCTACTTAGACGATGTGGCAATTAAATTCAAACAAAGGAAATACTGAGTAAGTCACCTTTAAATTCTTAACAATGAAACAACTATTGGAAAAAATACTATTAATTTCACAGTGAATCCTTAAATAACAAAGAAACATGGTGTATAGCAAAATTACCAGCCAACATTTCCATTAACTCAACGGCTTCTAGTAGATATCCCTCTTTTACTACCTTGAAACACTCTTTTTTAAGCAACTTCATAGTAGACCCATCAAACATTTTCAAAAGGGTAACATTCAATTGAAGCAAATATCCCAACAATTCAATAACATCCTTGATTCTCCCTTGTCTCAATCCCTTAATAACACCTGAAACCACAAGTTTAGAATTCAATTGTGTACCAAAAGATAAAGACCCAGTAGCATCAGAGCTCAAAACACTCTCCACAACCTTGACAAAATCATCGAACAAACCATCATCAACGAGCTTCGAAGCGATTTCGGCGTAATAAGTAAGATCATTTTTAGTAGATTTGAAGTTTGGTGGGTCAGAATGAGGGAAAGTAAGAGGTGTAGAGGTAGAAGATGAAGAAGAAGGTGGAGTTAAGGAGGTGGGTTTGGAGAGAGAAAAGAAGATAATGTTGTGGAGAGAGAAAATTGGAGTTTGTTTATGGCTAAAGAAATGGTGGTGGTGGTGGTGGTGGTGGTGACGAGTTGAGGTAACAATGGCGGATGAAGAAGCTGTGGTAATTACAAGATTCCTCATAGTACAAATTTTGAGCACGGAAAGATGCTGAGATAATCATGGAGCTCATCAAAAAAACTTGGATGAGTTATCTTGTAGTGGGCCACCTACGTGTAAAGTCCCGTTCACTTTAGCTTATTTTCGTTGTATTGAAATTATTTTTGCTCAATTTAAATTATTTTTATTGAATAGAAATTAATCTTATGGAACTGAAATTAATTTTTCTGAACTGAAATTATTTTTACTGATTTTCTATTATATTTCTTCTTTATAGTTATTAAATTTTATAGAATTGAATTTTTTTTACTAAACTGAAATTAATTTTATTGAACTGAACTTATTTTTAATAAAATGAAATTATTTTTACTGAACTTATTTTTACTTAACATTATTTTTTTTAAGGTGAAGTGCACAGGGCCTAACAAAGATCAGTTGTTACTCCCTCCGAATTTTTGTAACTTTTTGCGGCTGCATTTTATAACTTGTTTCATTTTATTTTTTGAAAATCTTTCAGAATATTTTACCAATTTCTTCTCCAACAGGTCTTGTATGGACCCGGTCTACAATAAATTATTGTAGACCCAATATTTAACACTCTTAAATAATATAGTCACATTCTAGATTATATAATCACTTTTTTAGATGATATAATTATCTTGTTGTCTCTCCTCTCTCTTCTAGAGTTTTATTAATCTTGGTCGTTTAAACCGGAAATAGTCTAATTTCTTCGAAAATTAGACTATTTTCGACCCTTTTTCTTTAATTCAATTTAGTTTTTTGCTTTGATTTACTTTTTGTTTTGTTTTGTTCTCTCCATTTGTGAGAGTATGTCCCAATTTTCTGGGTTTTTTTCCAATTCTCTGAGTTTTTGAATCTCATCCATGGATGAGAATTTTATTTTTAGGATTTTTATAATAATTGGGAAGGTGATTTGGATTTCATGGGTCTAGGGTTTGTCATCAACTTTTCGATCAAAAAACATCAGCGTAGATTGCAAAGGTCTCTACTTGAAAAGATGCAAAGATATCGAAAATCATTGCTTACGTCAAGCTTGAAGCAGTGGGGTATGAGCTATGCCAAATATGCAAATTAGTTATGAAATTGATTGTAAAAGTTATGGTATTTTCTCTAAATCTGTGGTTTACAAATCTTTATTATTGTAGATGCCGTATGGCTATTATTTAATGATTTTATTACTTCCCTTTCAAAAAAAAATTATATTGTTGTGAGTCATATTTTGAATGATATAGTCGTATTTTAAACAACTTAGCTAGATGATATAATTATCTTTTGGAGATATAATTATCTTTCGAATGATATAATTACAATTTGATACTTTTTTTAAAGATAAATTCACTTTTTGAATGATAAATTTACATAATCAGTTTCTAGATGATATAATCACTTTTCAAATAATAGTAGCGCGCGGTCCCCCAATTTGGTGATATTTAATTTGTAATAACTACATAAATTGATTATTATTACTAAATTTACGAAAAGATTTAATTAAGTTGTAGTTTCTTATTATACTTTAATTATAATAACTATATTAATAATGGCAATAATAAAGTGGATTATTGTTAAATTGATTGGAAATAGTTTTAAAAGGCTAATAGCATTATAATAGTTATAATGATCTAATACTTAATAATAAGGGTAAAAGAATTATTTAGTATTGTTTGGGATTTTGTTAAAAAACAATGGTTTATATAAATAAAGGTAAAAGTATTGTAACACCCTAGAAAATTCCTTTCCTTCTAAATATCTGTTTTGCCCTTTTTAAAATATGAAATAGGAAAATTTGAGACATTACCGCCTGTGTGAAAACGGGCAAGGCAAATATCAAAGACTCACACAGCGGAAGACTATCTTTAAAACCATTTAAAACAAGTCAACTTTAAAAAGTCAAACTAAAAAAAGTAAAGTCAAACTAAGTCAAACAAAGTCAACCTACAACTTAGAACCATTGTAGGCCCTTAAAACCAAATAATATTAAAAACCTTTACATTAGTCTCATGAGCATAATAAAAGAAATAATATTCAAAGCAAATAAAACACATCATATTTCTATGGAAACTAAGCATGATTCGCTCTTCACTCATGCCCATAATGAATATGCTTCATCACCTGAAATCTTCTCTCTACTTGTCCCCACTACTCGCCATTAAAAATGGGTCGTCGTAGGGCCAAGGTAAAGACAAGGCCAAACAAACATACAAACATACAATCAGCAATGTTGAGTACATAAGCGTAATAAAACACACTAACATGCTTTCATTCTATCAACACACAACTTACCTTGATGCACCTGTTCACAAGCATACAAGACATTCAACACATAACTAGACAAATAACTAGTCTCATTATTTAGCTTGATTAAGCATCGAACGAGTTTCCCCCTAACCTGCCCTAATAAAGGGGTACTAACACGGGAGCTAACCGTGCCAGTATAAAATAAACCACTCGTAAGTGGCGAAATTCCTGCGCATAATAAAAAGGAAAATACAACGTCCTGTACTCCCAGTAGAAGTTATGGTCAAATATAAAGTCGCATAACTCCCCCCATATGTTCATACACAAGGTATATACGTTCCAAGAGTTTTGGTGCGTAATCTCTTTCACTTTACGTTGTTTACATACTATTTTACTTGGTGATGACTCTCAAACCATAATATAATCAATCATCATAACTCATTCAAGTAATCAAACACACCAATTTAATTCTTGAATAATTAGTGACCACATAACTTTAATGTTGAATCCTTTTTAATCTACCTCGGTGTTAAATAACACCTTAAGTGCATAAAACACCTCAGATCCTATCCCTTGGTGTTAGAAACACCTTAAGTGCACTAAGACACCAAAATATAATTTAATCTTCATGTACATAGACACTTAAATAGCTTCTTCCTCATACTTATAACATCAATAAAAATTATATGAACCATAATAAAATTCCCTTTTCATACTCCAAACCAAATTAAACATTTAGTTTAATTAAACATGCTCTCTAACATGCGAATAATAAAACTGTGGTTCATAGACAACATGCCAATACAATTAATTCCAAACACTAATTCATCATAAGTAGTTCATACATCACAAATCAATCACCAACAGACCCAATCAACCAATTCCAATTATCACCTATCATGATACTATTTGGAATTAATTAAACAAACCCTAGCATGCTTCTACATATTCAATTAATTACCAAGTACGTGAACGTACCTTGAATATGATCTTAAAATTGCCACGACTAAATAAAATCACTCACTTGAAAGTCTCCTACAAACCAAAATTACAAAGAAGTATTAATACCTCTTCCACACAAATTTTCAGCAATATATACCCTCTTTAAATCACTCATAAACCCTCTAAAATAAGCTGAAATTTTATTTAAAATCCTTACTTTTATTCCCAATTAATGGGTAATTAAAAATCCTTACAAGAAACCTAAATATAGCCTTTATATAAAAATTCCAGTTTTATTAAACCATTTAAAATTGTTGTAATTGTGTTTTAAAACACTTATTTCAATAATTTAAATCACCCACAAACAATTCCCATCAATATACATCAATTTAGAAACCTAGGGTTTTCAATTGGGGCTTTTTAATTCAAAATCAAATCTGAAAATTTATATACAAAATAATTATCATTAAACATCATAAAATCATCACAAAACACAAAAACAATAATTAGATTTAGGGTAGATTGAATTAAAATCAAAAGGAAAAATAATTTTTTATTTCTTGAATTGTGCGCACGAACCACCATGGTTGGGCGGCTGCCGCGCGCCGCCGCTGCAGGCGTGCGCTGGTGGTGGTGGCCACCGGCCGGTGGTGGCGTGTGGTGGTGGGCGGCCGGTGTGTGGTGGTGTGTGTGGGTGGTGATTGAAACAAAAATAAAAATAAGGGAAGGGGAAAAATTAAGGGGAAAAAAAAATAAGAGGAGAGAGAGTTTACCTTTGGGTGCACTCCACCTTAGGCATATGGTGGGTATTTATACCCCCTCTCAATAACCCTCCTACTTAAAATTCCTTTACTACCCTTAATGATCCCTTTCCTAGTCAAACTAGCATTTGGACTTTCCTTAAATACCATATTGACTTTAAAAATTATCTTTTTATAAAATAATATTGTTTTGGGTGTTTTTAGTCCCTCGGGAGAGTTACAATACTAGGTATGAGCGTCTGCCTTCTGTACTTGCAAAACCATGAAACTCCGATTGGTTGGAGTTCCGCCTCCGAAGATCAACTTAGTATGACTCCGGATGAGTAAGCGTGCGGAAAGTAAAATTGGTGTTTCTCTTTGATTCAGGGAGATTCCGCAATTAATATTGCTTGGGATTTGTGTATGTATTTATAAATGCCAATAAATGAGGAGGATTCCTCTATTTATAGCAGATGAGAATCTGCTCCCCAATTGGGGGTTCAATGCCACGTGGCATCCTCTAATTGGATCCCCTTGGGCCCATATGAGGGTGACACGTGTCAGGCCCCCATTGGGCCACGTGCAGGGGTAATTTTTACCTTAATCATTTGCCCCTCATAGGTGTCATGTGGCTTTCCACGTGGCACCTGTGACACTTGTCATCATGCGGGAGGACGACGGTTCGCCTCTTTCCCTCCATTTTTTAAATTTGAAACTAAAGGAGGGAAGGTGACGGTTCACCTTCTAGGATTTTCTATAAATAGGAACCCCCCTCCTCACATTCCTCACTTTGCCAAACTTGAGAGAGAAATCATTTGAGAGAAAAAAGAGAGCTCCTGTTCCGCTTTCTTTTTCGTGCAAACAACCTCCAACCTCAATTCATCCGGATACCGGTTGAGTATTTCCTTGCCCATCTTACTAAGGTATCCGTCTGGCCTTGTCATTTTCTTCAATCTTGATTTTTGATAAAGCTGCAGCAGATTTCATGCCGTTTGGAGCTTCTTTAAGCAATCTCATGATGAATTGCACCCAATAGACCCGCAACCGGTTTTCACCGTCTGGGGTGTCTTCAAGCAATCTTATTGGGAGTTGCATTCAATAGACCCTCAGCCGGTTTTCACCGTCTGGAGTATCTTCAAGCAATCTCATTGTGAGTTGCATTCAATA